AAAATATATAACACCACTACTGGATAAGTCAATCTATCGTGAAAACGCCAATGTATCTATGAGGTATATACCTGCAGACACGACTGCAGTGGAAAATATCATTAGGTCTATAAACAATAATAAAGCTCCTGGTATTGATGGTATACGAGCCATAGATATTAAAAAAATATGCTCAGTGGTCAAATTAGCTATTAATCTTATAAATACAAGTATTAGAAACGGCAAGTATCCCTAAGTACTAAAAACAGGCATTGTTAGACCTATACATAAAAATGGTAATAAGTCTGACTACAATAACTATAGGCCGATCACTATATTACCTACCATTAACAAAATAGCTGAGAAATATGTTAATAGACAGATTTATAACTTCTATGATAAAAATAATATACTGACTAATAAACAGTTTGGCTTTAAACCTCATAAAAATACCACTCAGCTTTTAACGGCGTTCACAAATAGCATCTACAAGCATCTAGATGAAAAAAAACACATATTGGTAGTGTTTATAGACTACAGTAAGGCTTTCGATACACTTCGTCATGAGCAACTATTAGATAGTCTGAACGATAATGGTAATAGAGGACCACTGCTGTCGTGGTGTAAAGATTACCTCACCGATAGAAAACATGTAGTTAAAGTGGGTGATTCAATGAGCAACATGGTAAATGTATCTGTAGGTACTGCACAAGGCTCCGTAATAGGACCTTTACACTACATTACCTATGTAAATAGTCTGGCTAATATAATCAGGCGATATGAAATTTACCAGTATGCTGATAATACTTGCTTGGTTGCGGCTGGGAGCAATATAAACGACACTTTCAACCTCCTACGAGACAATTTTAATATAATTATGAAATGGTCACATGATAAAGGATTAGTCTTAAATACTGCGAAGACTAAGTTAATGTACATGCAATAGAAGGTTACGCAATCAACTAATAAATACTAAGTGTATTTCTTTTTTTTCTTACTACACCCTCATATTTGTTATTGTCGGTGATAACGGTAAAGTTTCTATAAACTTATGATTGTACCGCAACGTAATGTGTAATTAATGAATGTAATAATATATTAAATAAATAAAATAAAACCATATCAACAGTAGCAACTGATGATGATGATTCGTAATTGATGATAAATGTAAGGGTTTACGGGATACAGCATCCATTTACCGTCAGGCGGTCCGTGTACTCACTTGTCATCCTTAAAATTCATCTAAAATAAACCAAATAGTAACCCGTATTAGGATCTAGAATAAAACTCTCACTACTCGAATCGTCGGCGACCGAGCTCTTTCCGATCGGCTTGACTCACTGGCACTTCGAAGAGATGTTTTATCTCTTTGCGTATTTTATCGCATCTACCACGGGGAGCACTCTGAGGAATTGTTCGGACTAATTCCAGCCGCACAATTTCACCGTCGCACATCGCGACAAAACTTGCGATGCCATCCATACCATCTGGAATACTGGTGGTCCACCACTCTGCGATTTAAAAGAATTTTTTTATAGGATTTGGGTGAATAGAATGCCTCGATTCCAGTAAAACGAGTCTCCGGTTCTCTACACTCACCACACAAAACACAGCAGCATTAAGCTGCTATTTTACGCTGGTATTCTGTGAGAGCGTGGTCCTTCCCCGGTCGAGCCGACCCATTTATGCTACAACTATAATAGTTGCAGCGTAGCTCTACCACGTGGCTCTATCACTTACTCGCACAACTTTCTTGTGGAATCAATTACTACCAGAGATTTTTTCGGACCTATAAGACTTAGGGACCTTCAACAAAAGAGCCTATTCCTTTTTAAAAGGCCGGTAACACATCTGCAATTCCTCTGGTGTTGCAGTTGTTCATGGGCGGTGATAATCACTTACCAACAGGTGAGCCATATGCTCGTTTGCATCCCCGTAATGTAATCCCGTTAATGGCGTAATAATTTTAGAATTACATATTTTACGATGACCCATCTCTGTAGCAGACATTATTCTAAATCGTTCTATTTTTTTTTTCATTTTTTATTCTTTTATTTCTAGTGTGTTTTACATACATAAATCACGCATAAAAAGCCATAAAAACCCGGAATATCTCTAAGCAAATATTTGTTTCGTGCGGGATTCAATCCCGTGAGCACCAGCACCGCAGCCAAAAAAATGCGTGCTAAACGTAACGTAACAAAGACGTGGAAGCTGTCATTGCTGAACAAAGAGTTATATTAGCAATAATAGGTGATAGTCATCAAACACATGTTTATATTACGAAGTTAATTAACATTTTTATTTTATTTTTATAATGCTTCAACTACGTCAAATTTTCACCACCCCGTGGGTTGATTGGTAAAAATGCCTCAAGGCATTAAGTCCGCCCTTTGTATTCTTTTGTTTTAAAGAATGCAATAACAAATAAAAAATAACATTATTATTGCTTATCTACAAATTTTAATTTCCTCAATTCATAATTAATTGAGGTTGCGATGCATAAGTAATATAAGTAGTAACCTAAATTAAAAAACTAAAAACCTTTAAACTCAAATTCATTTCTTCATTTCTTTATTTATAAATTCATAGTAACATTCAGTTAACACAAATTAGCAAATTTACAAATTGAAGAACCTAGAACTATTATAAGAAAGCATCTTAAGACTAACACATAGCTGATACAAACTCAATTTTATCAGGAAAATATAATAAGAGTAGGTTATACTTAACTTATAGGTACAGTAAAAATTTTAGTATATATAGTTTAAGCTTAACATATTTCTTGTTATACAAAAAGTGAGATTTTTATAATTAAAATTCTCAGGCTTAAATCAGATTCTGTTTCAATAAAAAAATCCCGCGGAAAATATGCAAACTTAAATGCACTATGGAATTGGACAATTTTCAAAAGTGCATAGGACTTTTAAGGACTTTTTTAGTAAATAAGACCCTTCCTATATTAAAGTTTTTTGTCATATTACATACTTTACAATTTAAATTTATATTTTCCACGGGACTCATGCAATACACTCATTAAACCAGATTATGTTTAGTGTAGTGTGCACATAATACTATGTGCACACTTCAAGAATAGTACTGTTAATCCGACAATTATCTTCTTACTATATACTTTATTGTTGTTCAGTGTGTAAAAAATAATTTAGAAAAACAACGCAATACATACTAATATACCAAGAAGTGTTGCCCATGTAACTATACTACTTCAAAATATTTTTCTCATCTCATTGTTTACTAGCAGTACATACAAAAATGACATTTAGGGAATGAAGTACTCGTAGTGAGCAACCGCGATGTTGTTTTTATCGTGCGCGCATATAACTTACTTAGAATATTTCTAAATAAACTTATTCCTTCAATAGACAGACACTAGAAAATGTTTTATTTTGTCACTTAGTCACTAATTGTTCCTCATTTACGAGTTAGTTCTATCTATTTTTTACTTTTATTTACATAAATTTCTTTTTACCACAATTTATATTTAAATAAAGACCACTTAACTTTTACAGAACATATTTGCATACTTATGATAAAATCACATTTTCGATCCTAATATTCAAAAATATCTTATCAAATTACGCATTAACTATGTAAAGATGCGGAAATTAATAAACAGATATTTTATTATTATTTCGCCTAACTTTTTTCCGTCGGCAAAAAATAGGTGAATGACGTAGAAACTTCAGGCATAGATTTATTTTTGCTTTTATTTTTTATATTATGAATTTTATAGGATTAGGATGACACGCGAGCACGCAGTCCACCTGATGGTAAGTGACTGCTGTGACCCATAGACATCTATATCTATCCTCGTTTATATATCCTATTGTTCCTGACGGTAAAAAAGTCAATCGGCATATAATAATAATGTTGTTATTTTGAATTTTAGTGAAATCGTTACTTGTTCGGGTATAAAACATCTAAAAAGAGATTTTATTTTAATGTTAATTTTTATTTATTTACAAATGAGTTGAGACAGATTTATTTACATAATATTCAGGAGTCCCGTTGATATACCTACAAAAATTTAAATTTGTTGCCTACGTACAAATAACGAAAACAATACTTTACGTTTTAAAACAAAATATGTGATTGACATGCGGAATAATTTTATTCTGTACATACATTTGAATTTAGCAATTTAAAAAACAATATTTTTTTTATTTCAGACGTTAGAGTTTACTTAAATAAAAATCAGTTCTATATTATACAAGAAAACGAGTTAGGTTTGCAACTTAAAGATTAATATTATTACAGACACATATCACCTTAAAATTATAATAATAATTTTATATTTGTATTTTTACATTTGTGGGAAAGTAACAAGAATAAGTTCCTTTTGTAGGAAACAAACAACAATCCGCAGTTTTTAATTTTGCAACTTTTTACTAATTATACGTTAACTCCGACAAATAAGTAACAAGTTTTACCAAAAATTATCGCATAGATCTTAATTCCTTCTTTATAACCTAACTGTCATGATATTATCAACTCTTAGTTCGGCTTAAAGATCTAAAAGTATCACATATTGGCCTCCTGAGCATACTTGTCATTAAATTGCTTCTTATATGAAATAAAAGCAATAAAATGATACTCACGTTAATTTTTAATCTCATGTAGTTATCAATGAAATATTTCTCAAAATACGATCAAACGAATCATTTCCTTAAGACGCTACAAACGATTACAAGTACCTACACGAACCAATAAGCGCCCTCTTATAACATTAGGCATTAAAAGGCATTTCTATGAGTTTCGTTTTGATCCAATATCAAAAGCGACTGACAACAATATCAAGTTAACGTCTAATGAGATATTAAAGAAAAAGATATAATATTACAGATACTCCCACGTTTCATCGTAATACATAAAACGTCGCCTACCTGGTTTATACTCGTTATAGCCGTGTTTTTCTCCTAATAAAATAATATCTCACATTTGACTTTATAATGCAACGCTATGATAAACAAGTACTTAAGCTAAGAATTAATAGCAATCATTTAAAGCAAAATTAAAACGATCACTACTAAACTTGAAAGCATTTTAATCATCGGTGCAAGCACTTCCGATGATTGTGCTGAAGCCGCGAGAGCACTAGCTGCAGCTTCGACGCACTGTCTGTACGCAACATGCTCTAAGCATGTTATAGCACAGAAATGTTGGTGAGCGCAAGCGCCGTCACAGTTGTCTGCACCTTCCTGTTTGACGTTGTACGCACGTAAATACCTGATGAAGGATAAAGTCATATAAGTGTTCATTATCGCTGTGCTTAGTTGCCCCAACTATGATGTCCCTCACATAAGTGAGACCGAATGTGTCTCTACGTAAGGGACGTCCTAGACGGAAGTATATCGAGCGAATTAAAATTGAATATTAAGACGTCAAATTGAATTTGAGTCAAATAGAGTACTCCTAATCGACAAGCGCGAGTTCGTAGATATATGGATGTGAGAGAAGCAAGAGAGATTTGTCACTATCGTGGCAAATAGAAGTCCGTATTATTTACTTACTCATTCAGGGATAGGTGTCATAGTTTTTGTTCGTACGAATATGTTGTTTTGTGTTTGAGGGAAGTTAAAACAGACGATGGGCAGTGGTATCTTTATTTAATAAAGCAAAATATTCAAAAAAAACAGGCCTACAATCGAGGTGAATATGAGAAAATCCTCCCTATGAAGTAATTTGCTGGAGTAGCCTGTGGTTCAGCAGTGGACTTGTTGGCTGTTATGGATTATGAATTGTTTTTCAACATGAAAGAACGAAATATACTAGAATTGAAAACAAATAATAAGAATGGATTGAAGTAGATGGATGCAGGTGGCTTAGAACCATGCTTTGTAGCACACCTTGGGGGAGGCCTATATTTATCAGTGGACTTGTAAAGTGCTGTACTGATGATGACGATGATGATGATGATGATTAAGTAAAATACACTTCCAACTTATTATTCTTGAATACTATATACGCTGCTGCAACCCCAGTGGCGAAGCTTCCATTAAAGCCGAAAAGCCAGGCTTTCCTTATTAAACCTGAATCAATCAATAATATCAATCAATAATATCAACTAATAAAATAACTCGTAAAATGTTTCAAGCTATTTCAAATTTGCCGCGCACTTCACTGTTCGACACATGTCGACCGATGACCTCGTATTGCCTTAGCGATACTGCTGCTGTCATAAAAAATGAGTTTTAATAGAGCTAATAGTTGTCTCCCTCGCTTTCGAGAATACGATCGCTCTCTTTCTAACCTATGGCAAAATATTCTATAATGAAATATAACTAAGATTTTATATATAGCAATTAGTATAGAGATTTAAAGCCAGGCTTTTGGGAATAAATTTGTTAAAAGCGAAGGCGCGCGGGCAATACGTTTGCAAGTTCATTTCACGTTTCAATGTTTTTTACTCTGTGTGCTTATCTTAAGCGATTTAATATTACGAGTTCAAAATTTATACTTTTCTCAAGATTTTTAATGAAATGGAGGATAATAGTGTTCCTTGTGATGAATTGAAGTTTGTTAAAGTGATAATCGGAGAGGAAATCTTTAAACTTTGTTGAGATAGTACACAAGGTTAAGAGTGTATTTCAAACGTATCAATTATCGCAATTAAAAACAGTTATTGGTACAATTAAAACGTTCACCAACATTTTACGTGGACGTAATTAAATCTTTCCATAAGAAAACGAGACGATTACACTTATCTTATCTTATCTCTTATCCATTAGAATGTAAATAATTGTTTTTTTTTTTTAATTTTGTACATAGTTTGTTTGTACTTTTTTCGTGTTTTACTTTTGTTCATGTATTGTATTGGATGTAAATATTTTATTTCTTTCGCTTAAACAAACCCAAACGGCTTTCTTCAAAGCCACCGAAGCTATGCAATTGCTGATATGTAATACAATCTATCTAGCAGTGGTATGCCTTCTGTGTGCTTTGTTAAACACGTCCTTGACAGCACTGAACATGAAACTGAAGCGTGAAGACAGATCAAGATTGGTGTATTTTTATAAAACTGCTAAAACAACAATCTATATTTTTATCAATTTATATCTTGGGCTTGCTCTAGCTTGGAGCTCTAGCTTCACCACTGTGCAACCCAATTGTTAATATATTTATAATTTGTATATTGTTAATATATTTTTATTTTGCGTTTTAGTAATTTCTTTATATTATACATTATGTTGTATGTGATGAATAAATCATTCATTCATCTATTCAGTAATCAAATTGCAATTCATTATTTTATTGCTTCTTGCGGGGATCGAATCAAGGTTGTTCGCATTCTGTGAAGTTTACGTCAAGCAATAACAATTGAGCTAGCAATGTTCTCGATTTCTCTGAATATTTCCTTCGGTGTTTATGATGATAAAAAACTACGGTATGCGACCTAGATAAAACAGAAAAAAATAGTTTTTTTAAGGTACAGGAGTAAAAAGCTATAAAAAAGTATTCATGTTGTACACCTTAATTACTCGTACGCCGAGATTTTAATATAGAGATAGCAATTTACTAAGATACTTGTCAGACATGATAGACGTATAACGGGATGAAAACTGATCAAAGCATATTTTGAAACACAAAGTGCTTTGGTTTGCTCGCAAAATTTATGAGCATACGGAGCTAAGAAAACTCGCGCAATACTATCACAATATTACTTTATATTTTAAGTAGACTATAAGTGGTTTATTACAACTTACACTGTCAAATTTTTGGTTTCCGTATTTTACTACATAATAGGACTCCATTCCCATTTAGAGTCTAATGTGTAAAAAGCAATTTGCCCATTCTTTCGCCAAATAGCAGTAGTTGTACTGCTGTGTTGCGGTTTGAAGGGTAAAAAAAACAGAATAGATACAAGCTGTGAGGGGTTCCATATTAGAATGGAGCATCCGTAGCCTCCTTTTTTAAAAGCTGAATGCATATGTCTTTAAATCGCATTTCCCACTTACCATCAGGTGGACTGAACGTTCGTTAGTTTCATCAGTTTTATAAAAAAATGGTCATTCAACGTGAAAAACTAACGGCCCAATGACTTTGTAATAAAACGTAAATTGAAACTTACTTGTTAAACATTGCAGTTTCCTGTGGCACACCTATTCGAAGTTTATCCGCTAGATTATGCAATGATTCTGCAGACACATCACGAAGCCCATAGTACTGGGTCAAGTTATACTCTGCGCTCCATTCAGCCCCACCCGAGCTCGCACGGTTAGCCGCAGCCAAATCCAAGTAATATTGTGTGTAATCGAGAACCTGTTAAGTTAATGAGAGAAATCAAACATACATTTTATGCAAACAACTTTTTAACTAGAAACCATACAATTTGTACAGCTAAAGTATTTTTTTTTCAAAAGAATTAAAAATAATAATATCATTTAATTTAAATAAAGACAAAAGGTACAATTTAAAAGAAATTTTATAATTCTGGACACAGGGATTCTCTCATCTCTGAGAGGGTTCGAGGACTGCTGAGTTCCGGTTTGAAGGGTATAGAGTCAGTGTAGTTACAGGATGTGAGGATTGCATCTTCTTGAGAGGTAACACGCATCCGAAGCCTTCTTTGTTAGGAGCTGGTTACAGGTGTCCATGGATTAAGAGTCCATCTGATAGTAAGTGATCACATACAGTTGCATTTAGTTTTATAATTAAAACAAGCGGTCAAAAGCTCTATCTCGGCTACGATATTGTTACACATTAAAACAAACTAATAGAACGAAATGATCGTTGGTTCACGTAGGGTATGTCAGCGCAACTTCAAATTGTATGCGTAAAAGCTTGAAAAAAATCGGTGTTTTAAAAACAGCTATGAATTAAGTAAAATAACAATATCTTAAATTATTTCTACCTGGTTAAACAAACGTCATTTTACCTTATATAGTGCCATTATTAACAAATAAATAATTTTAATAATCCAGAGCCAGAAATTCTCACTTCGTCATGTTTTGAAAACGTATTACTAAAGGATATCGCCCTTGGGATTTCCAATGTAATTGGTTTGCATTTAACGTAAAAAGCTTTACTTATTTTTGCAATCTCCTTACCTTCCCTGTATCGGAATCGAATTTGTAAAGTCTTAAGCCAGGATTTGAAGATCCTGCAGGATCATGATGTGGACTAACAGAGGGTGCCAGGAGAGCCCACGATACTGGTTGATCTGTGAGACAATATATTGTAATTATTTTTGGTCTACGAATTTCGATACTGAATTTTTCTTTTAAAATAAATATCTTACATTTAATTTTAAATATTTCGTACACGATTCACCTAATAAAATATTTTATTGAACAGGCGCTAATTTTTTATTTCTTCTTATTTACTAAATTCTGTTTTTTATTTTTCAAAAATATTTATTTTATATTTCTGTTATTTCATACATAGTTCAGAAGTCATTGTAAAAAATATTAAGATCATGGGTAATTGTAAAGAATGTAAAAAAATCTTAAGGATGAACCTTTATCATAGATAACACGAAACGTGTCTGCGTGTAGATGACCGAAAAATTGTCCCGCAATAATTTTTGCATGACGCCTGACCATTCTCAAGTACTTTGCGTTCGCGTCAACTGATAAGGCGTTGTAGGTTGGTCGTAAATCTGTTCCAGGTGCTGCGTGGCCTACAATGTAAACCTGTAAATAAAATAATTGTAGAGTTGAACAGTTTCTAGTAAGAATATTTTTGCTCGAGTTTTCTGGAATATGGAATAAAAACTGGGTACCAATTTTTATAATTAAATTATTTGTTACTTTTAGAAATTGTTGTGTTTACTTGAAGACACAAATAAACACACAAAATGCGTAAGTTATTTTTTTATCAGGATTTCCTATATTTACGATAACAGTACACATTGAATAAAACTATTTATACTAATTTTGTCACGATTAATTAACTTATTTTTAATTTCCGGCGTTTCGGGTGCTTAACAACACCCATGGTCACGGAGGGGGACTGTTGGATGGAATGGAATATTGATTTATTTGCATTGAATGTAGGTATTCACAAAAAGGGTGTTGAGAGAGTACATAAAAGATCCGTACATTCTACCATTTTGGCATGCAAATATTAAATTAAAATTTATTTCTATACTACACTATTAATTAATTATTAATAGATTTAATATGATAATTACGACTATAAATAGTTATTACATTATTATGATTAAAAGTATTGCATTATTATTATGTTGGGTATCTATATAGTTTTCTCATATGGTTGGGTTCTATAAATATATAATTATGAATTAAAATGAAAAGATAAGATAAATATACATAAATATAATTAAAATAAAACAAATACAAAAATACTTAAATAAATAAAAGCCCAACCAGATGGAAGCTCTCGGCAGGGGAGACCAAACGTCCAAGGGTTAGGAGGAAAGGGAAAGAAACCGGCGGACGAAGCGGGCGATATCGAGGAGCACCGCCTTCTGCATTTGAGCCCGGAGCGGTCCATCACGGAGTCCCAGTCACCTCAGATGACCCGAGAGGCTGACTGGGATTAGCCCATTCGCAGAGATGACTACAGGAATAATTTCAGCCGGCATACCACCCCACATGTCGGTCACCTCGTTAGCCAGGTTCGGATATTTTGTTAGTTTATCTGTTTCGGCTTTCACGAGGTTCTCGTCATACGGAATGGTAATGTCGACCAAAAATATCCTTGACTGTTCCCGGTCCATCAGCACAATATCAGGCTTATTCGCAAGAATAGTCCTGTCCGTGGTGATGGCCCGGTCCCAGTAGAGCGTGGTACGGTCATTTTCGAGCACGGCTTCTGGCAAGTACTTGTAATACGGCAATTTCCGGTCCACGAGACCGTATTTCAGAGCGAGCTCCTGATGTAGAATTCTGGCTACTAGGTTGTGCCTGTGCAAGTACTCAGAGTTAGAAAGCGCCGAACGACCGGAGATGACATGCCTAAGTGACTCACCGGGATGGCGACAAGTTTCCCCGAAGAGGTCACCGAAACGTAGCCAGTTGAGGGAGGCGGCTGTATCTACGTGGGGTTCATGTAGAGCCCTGTAGTACCTCCCGTGGACCCACTTTAGCCATGTATGGGGCACCGAGTCAAATGCCTTTCTGTAATCTATCCAGGAGGTGGAGAAGTTCCGACGGTTGCGTTTCACCACTTTGCCAATGACCGCGTTAATGAGGAGTGGTTCCTTGGTTCCACGACCGCCGCCCCGACATCCATTTTGAGCGCGCGACATCACCTGATTTGAGTCCAGGTGACGAGTGATTCTCGCGCTCAAAATGGATGTTAGTGTCTTGTATATGGTCGGTAGACGCGTGATGGGTCGGTATTTGCTCGGGTCTGTGGCACCCTGATCTTTAGGAACCAAATGAGTGATCCCAGTAGTGAAGATGCTCAGGAGCGACTTCTGGTTGAGAGCCTCTTGAAACTGTCGAGCACAGCATGACACACCATGAACCCCTTCAGCCAGTAGTAATGCAGCCCGTCAAGCCCCGGACTTTTCCAGTTCGGGGCCCTACGGACCGCCTCAGCTACGTCATCCGGCGTTATGATGACGGGATCCATGGGCGTAATACCCGCACACTGACTCGCCACAACTTCCGTCCAAGGGCCCTCGTTGTGGTTTACGGGCTCTGACCACATGCACCAGAATGCGACCGTGTTGGCCTGATTCGGTACTGGGGCCGTTCTACTTATCATTGGTCGCTCCAATGATTTATAGAGCCTCTTCTGATCACTATGGAAGAGACAATTCTGGTTGAACCGTGTCGACCTCTCGGTATATCGCCGAATCCGCTTTCCCCAAGCAGCGATTCTCTGCTTCAGGTCGTCTATGCGCTCCGTCAGTTTTTGCATTATATCCGGCTGGGACAAACTAACATTTGTCCCAGCAAACGCCATCCTAACGGTGCGCACAATCCTTGGCCTGGTATTGCTTGACCTCAAGCATATCAGTCTGCCGATGAAGGCCCTAGCCTTTGCGATACATTCTTCAATTCTTGTTCACCAGGATAGCACTACTTTGTCCAGTAGTGCGTCCAGCCGTGGAAAATTTGGCGCCTATAATACGGCAGACTGTCAGTGCGGCGCAAAAGAGAATTGAGTCCGTCTCGCAAAGGTCCCGGTTGGCTTCCAAATAGGTCACCAGTATTTGTGTTCAGAGCCCTCACGATAGCCCGATTCCACTTGCTGAGGGCTACGCGGGAAAGTCGCGGTCGATTTTCGAGAGGCGTACTGCGCGTTTCCAAAATCACCTCATCCATGTACTCCTCATTTGCTCCAGTTCCAGTTCCTGGGCGACTGTTCCATCATCGTTTGAATCAACCAAAACTGGGGTGTTCACGGCGCCATCCACGTTTGCCGGTTGCTCTGCGATTTGTGGCGCCGCATCCTCAGCCGTAGCATTTTCATCCGATGAAGGAACAGCCTCACGTCGTAGCCGTTCGAGTTCGGTGACATCAAATGTATTTGAGCGCAAGGTATACCGAATTCGTCTGCCAGGTTTTGCTCTTTCTTCTTTCAATCTTTACAGATGGCTCCAGCTCAGCAAAAAGTCGATGCATCCTTGCCCGATACGCAAAACCACCAATTTCTCCCCCTTTCGCCCTAAAATACGCCCGCAATGCGTTGCTGTTCATCTTGTTGTGTGTCGTGCAACACCTCGCGTTCGTTGACTGGCGGTTCGCATGCTGTCGCGTCCAGCCTCAGCTCCGGCGTCCTCCAGGAAGTGGCCCTTTGCGCATTCTAGTCAAATCCATCATCCTTATTATTATTATTATTACATTATATAGAATTTTGAATTATTATTGCAGATAGCTTATTACATTATTACATTAAAAATACTAACAGATTATACAAATAATTAATTAACTGAACGTTATTTTATATGGGTATCATCTAAGAAGTCCGATACTGAGTAATAGCACCTTTCCAATAACTAAGAAGTAAAACTCTTATTAAATATTCTTATCGGTTGATTTTTTACAAAATTAGGAATTTTATTATAAATGACTGGTGCCATGTCCATAACATTTTTTTTAATAAAGCTGTTTGAAATCTTCCCGTGTACAATAAGTCTTTATATTGCGTTCTCGTAGGTACAGTTCGTACTCGAGTTTCATTTAAGGTCGGAAATAAATGATGATTAATTATATATAATTTTGACAAATAACGCTACTTCAAGAATATATAGACAAGTAAAAGTTAATAATTTATAAGCTTTAAAAATGGGGACACAACTATCGGTAGTCTTTAAATTAAAGATTGCTCTTATACAGCGCTTTTGGGCTTTGAAAATGATTTCTCTATCGCCACAGTTGCCCCAAAATATAATACCATATATTAAAATGGAAACCACCACACCATGGTAAGCGACTAATACCGTTTTGATATTGACCTTTTTTGTCAGGTTATAGAGTGCATAAGCAGATACATTTAGTTTCTTACAGACATTATCTGCTTGGGCCTTCCATGTCAATTGGCTATCTATTAAAATACCTAAAAATTTTGCGACATCTACTCTTTCTATTGTTTGACTATTATAATTTATATTTAGATCTTCAGTGCGAGGTTTCTGGTAAAAGTGCATTATTTTAGTTTTTTGAATAGTTATAAGTAAATTAGTATAATTCAGCCAGTTAATTATAGTTTCAATCGTAGTGTTTACATCATTTTCATAAAAATCTTTATTTGAGAGCTGTACTGTCGTCGGCAAATAATACCATTGGATGATGGATTTGACGTGGGAGGTCGTTTATATAAAGAAAAATAACAATGGCCCAAGGACGCTTTCCTGAATATATATATATATATATATATATATATATATATATATATATATATATATATATATATATATATATATACTAGCTTGCCAGGCAGACGTTATCCTGCCCTTTTCAACGACCCTTTGTCATGTCCTATTGAAAATCCTTAAATTCGTGAAAATAACACACATTAATAGAAATTGAAACACTTTGTTAATAACTTCGCTTTCTTGTGAATACATTTAGACATTTTTTTTAATTTCCCGTTAAAACATATACATATTCCATTTTCTGAAAATAAAACCAAGAAAGATGTAAAAAATATCAACGATGTTTCGACCATTATAATTCCGTTCAGAACTACTTTTGTGAAACAATTTCAGAAGCGATTAGATTAACGACTTTTTAGTCCGCAATTTATTAGAGCCGCCGTGGCCGGACATCCTTCACCTTGTTCCGGTGCCGTAGTTATGATACAGGTCAGCGAAGTACAGTTATGACTTAGACTATTTATTAAAGTTTGAAAATTATGTCGCCGTGAAAACTATAAAATACTTTGGTTGAACAGAAACAGGAAATTGCAATAACAATCAATTATCATTAATTTTTTTTATTACAGCGTATCAATAGTCTACTGTTGTCCTCAGCATAGATTGCCTCATAAGGAGGATATTTACCATAGTTGTCATGCTTGGCAACCTTACGCCCCTCAGCATGTGCCTAGTTTGCCTTAAGGATAAACCACTGTCCAGAGGTAAGGTCTCATCATATCGAACAAAACGAACCCAAACTCAGCACACCTATTACTATTACTACTCTTCGAGGAGATCCAGTTGCATTCACCGAAGTATTTCATCATGAACCGCTGTAAACAAACGATGCTGTAATCCACTCACGTGGGAGGCCGAGCCCGGAAAGAGTCAAAGTGTATTTAGTGAAATATATTAGGTATTGTTATAATATATTTCACTAAATACACTGCTCTCGACACACCAAAAACTTCGGAATTTCTTACCCGGAAAAATTTATTATCACTAAACAAAACAAAAGTAAACTTTGATTTACGATCCATGACTTCCCACATGATTTTTTTATTATATTTATAAAAACGTTACCCCTACACTAAGATTTTCTCTTGTATCGTGGGGGCAGTTTACAAACACAAATTGCACAAGAACAAACATCCAGACCCGCACAACCCGAACAACTATTTGTGGGCCATACAAATACTTGTTCCGTGCGGGATTCGAACCCGCGACCCAAAGAGCAGCCACTCATTGCTAAGCCACTGCACCACGGAGTCGTCAAAACATGATAGATGAAGAGATTAAAAATAGGTTGATTTAAAGAATTGATTATTTCGAAAGTTATCGTGTTTACCCCTCCATGCGGACTTGATAAAACTACACCATAAGCCACTAAAACCACTTTTTAATGTAAAAATAGCAATAAACCGTATTAATTTGTTGCTTTACAAACATTCCCTGGTACTTCGCAATGTAAGTAATATATCTTAATATTCTTAAATATTATGTGTATATATATAACAAAGACCTCTCAGCTATTATTATCCAAAGTTTAAGCACAAGAAACCTTTGGGCAGCAGCAGCAGCAGCAGCACAATCTCGTAAATTCAGTTCAATTTTTTTCTCATATTTTACGCCAGAATACTAAATCTGAATTTTATATCTATGTCTACATCTATAGATACTTGAATTAAATACCTACATTAATTAACCCTTAACCAAGATAAGGGAACATGCCTCCCACATAGTATTTTCGATGCCCTTAACAGGTTTTGACGATAAAACGCCCACAAACTGTCAAAAACCCTGTAGAAATATATTACCTATGGTCACATAAAAAAAAAAAGAATCGGAATGCAAATGTCACTTTTATAGCTAGTTAATCTGTGACTGTCACTTGGTTGAGTGTTTTTTGAACAAGTGCCGCGTTTTTTTTTTAATAATGGCGAAACAATGAAAGTTAAGTCGTACAACTTTTTGATATGTTGTAGTTTTTGAGTTATTCTATTGATTTATGCATAAATTTTAACCAAATACTTAACAAAATTACAGATATAACTAATTTAAAATGTGGGGAACATATGCCCTTAGCCTGATAGTACTGTTGATTATGTGGGAGCTATATGTTCATAGCCTGATGAATTAGAATTGTTTATTTCTTCACTAGCTATTACCCGCGGTTTTCATTTTTAATTTTTATTATATTCTAACCAATGTGCTAACATGGTAGTGGGTATGTTTTTGTCATCTATTAACTAGTCATTCATTATGTGTGTAATTACTTTATTTTACAGAAAAAGTAATAATTTTTAAAAGTAGTAAAAATGCAGGCATGCTCCAACTTAGGCCACATCATCAGGTGACCACCAACAGGTGAGATTGCGGTTAAACGCCTGTTTAGTCCGATATAAAAAAAACTCAACAGACAAACTCATTTTCATTTATATATATATATAGTCAATCTCAATCTCAAGGCGGGCAATGGGATTATGTTTTCCCACATGTTTTTTTTCATGTTTTTAGCATTTTTTTCAGTTTCAGTGATGCAATATGAAACAGAGCCTTTATAAGTATACAAATCCGTAAAAAGAAACAATGTTGCTACGGCAGTTCTCTGGGGCCTGGTAAAGGGTTAAATTATAAATTAACATTATTGTAGTAATAAAATATTCAGTAGTTTTTTATGTTAAAATGAATTTAATGCACACACACACACACACACACACACACACACACAAATATATATATATATATATATATATATATATATATATATATATATATATATATATATATATATATATATTAATATATATAACGTAATTTCTATTAATATAACTTATAAACATAATGAACTCTTTACTTTTGCAGTAGATTCAATTTAGTTAAATATTTTATATCTTAATATTCTTATTACTTAGATAGAAGGAATTTGGGTCATATTAATTTACTTTTAGATGTTATACACCAATTAGGTACGATAAGTAACCAAAAAATTGAGCTCTGCCACTTGGAATATTTCAATAGCGGGCTCAGGCATTTCAACGATTTGCAGTTTAACCCGGAATTTAATTTAAATTATAGACAATTCTGGAAATTGTATAACGTGAAGAGGGCCGTCATATTTTATGTTTGTTGATGTTTTGTATTTATTGCATGTACGTTTTTATTTAATGTTTATTAAATATGAGAAAATAAATTATCTTATACCATCTCTTTATTCGCCTGCGCTTTATCTAATACCGCGTCTAACCATTCCCATTGTGCTTTAGCAGGAACACTATTCACTTCACGAATTCCGAATAAATTAGTATTCAAAGCCACGATCCTCAGTTTACTGTATGACTGTTCAATTGTATAATATCCACCTAAAATGATAAACAATAGTATTTATATTTATTTAAATACAACCAATCTTAACAATAATCAACATTAAATATTTCTTATTGTTATCATTATCATCACCAGCATTTTTAAGTCGATACAAATATCTTTTTCTAAAAACACCAGCAGGCATAAATGTCTCGTGTGGTAAATCGTAAATGTCGTTGTCCCATGTGCTTGTCAAAACTTACATGCTAGATTGGCACTGATCTCTATATATACAGTTAAGATGCATATAGCCTCATATAAATGGATCGGCTATTTTATAACTTCTTATATTTTTCTATAGAATAGGATGACAAACAGTAAAAAGGATCGTCGGTTTTCTACACTCACCATACGAAACACAGAAGCATTAAGGTGCTATTTTACGCTGGTATTCTGTAAGCGTGGTTCTTTCTCGGTCGAGCCCACCTATTCGTGCTGCAGCCATAATATAGCTGCAGCGTGGCACTACCACGTTTATATACTAAAATATTTCTAATTTATTTAGTCAATTATTAGGTACGCTTGAAATTATAATACCAACCAATTTTGAATGTTTGCAGTGCCTCTAATGGTAACCAATGCATCCATAAATTAGTAAGACTTTCCGAGGGAGTGGGGTCCAAGTGACCGAGAACTGGGAATACGAAGTGTGAACTAAACGTCCTGCTTAATAACTCCGTCATATTCCTGATCGCCCGGTATCTGTCGCCCTCATTACCACTGTAGTGAGCTGCTATAATATCTCTAAAAGCAAAATATTATTTCATAGTACCTTTAATGGAAGATGAGAATACAATATTTGATTCATAGAGGCATTGTTGCAAGTTAAATCGCTCCTCAAATTTGGTTTTAATTTTTCTTAATAACTTTTAATTCATTACTTTATAACTTAAATTATACAAAAGTTGTAATTTGATATTTAACTGTATAGTTTTAGTGAGAGGATAGCGACGGCAGCCATACTAGTATTAGCTTTGTAGCTAACAGCCGCCTGAATTGAAATCGTGTAGGTATACGTGGGCGTAGATTATAGTTGAGCCTACTGACTGCAACGTAAACACAGTCTTATTATGATTATTATTAAGTTTTAAAATTCATATTCATCTATATTTTTTGAAAATTATTTTGATTACTAATAACATGCATAGATTTAATTGTAATACAAGCAGTGAGTTCTCAGATTTTAACATACCCTGTCCAGAGAACGAACTCAACGTTCTCTGAATGACGAGTTCGCATGTACTTGGCTGCTGATTCGATTAGCTCAAGAGAGCTATCACATGAATAGTCGCCGTAGCGACCTAACGCTTGGTGATGGCCGGAACTGCCCCGTTCGTTTATTCTCCGACAAACTAGATTTATTAAAAATTATAAGAATATTAATCGGACTTATAAAAAAAAGATAAACATATACCGGTCATTAGGATTTCAAACATTCGAAACAGACATAGAAAAATGTCTGTTTCCTTTATATATATAAACGATCAATAAAAAGAAATTAATAATTATGCTCAAATTTTTCTTGTTTTTTTATACTTACATCTACGGTTATCACCTTGTGGTGTGTAGAGCGGGTCGTAATGGAAATCGGTTATATGCCAAAAATAACCTGAAACAATAAACACAAATGGTATATTAAGGCCATCACCTAAAATATTGTTTAATAAGTAGTATCTCGTCATGTAGAGGTGACATAAGAGAATCCACCTCTCCATATCATTCCGCAGGTGTCGTTAGAGGTGACAGGTAAAAGAAACAGAAAAGGAAGAATTCAATCACCAACCTGTGATTGAATGTGGCTATCTAAGGAGGTGGCTTATGGGTAGCAATGGACTTCTGATAGGCCCGTAGCTTACAAACAATATAATATATATATATACAATATATATATATATATATATCTAGTTCGGCCATAAGTTCTGTTACAAATGAAAATGAATTTTTTTTTTATGAAGAAATGTAATGTTACTAAAACTTACATGTACGTATTTATTAAAGTGTCAGCAAAAATAAAAAAATTCTATTAAAAATGGGCACTATGAACTATGAGCGCACACTTTATCATTTTGCTTATTGTAGTGCTCTTCAATCGTGAAAATTTTTTCATCGGTAAGAGGATATTTCTGTGCCCTTTATCTGCGTATAGCGACAGAAGGAGTTTTGATCAATCCACTCTCTTTAATTGTAAAGAATGGTTTAGGGCATGTCCTGTATATCTACGTATAAGCACTGAGCTTCAGGTCTTGTTTTATAATACGCGACAGAGTCCTAGCGGGAATCTTTATTTGTCGCGATATGATTTTTGCTTCCTAATGGGATTTCGATGAGTTCTGACTTTAACAGCATTAACAGACTTTGTAGTTCTAACAGCACGCGGCCGCCCTTATCTCTTATGGTCTTCGATAGAGGAAGAAATGTTGTATCTGTTAGTACGAACATGTTGCAAACATACAGCTGATACCAAGCGTTTGAAGTGTCTGGAATAAGACCGACGACTCCGTAGCCACGTTTTGCAAGGCGCTCACTGCAATCCTATTTTATTTAAGACCCCATCCCATATTGTTATTTGATAACGAAGACGAAAAAATATGTGAAATGGTGCAAAAGAAAAAGAACTTTTAAAAATAGTGAACGCGTTTCAAATTCAAAACAATTAAAAAGTTGAAAAAAAAGAAAAGTTTTTATGTAACAGTATTTATGGCCAGAATAGTTATATATATATATATATATATATATATATATATATATATATATATATATATATATATATATATCTATATATATATATATATATATATATATATATATATATATATATATATATATATATATATATATATATATATATATATATATATATATCACCTCTCAAAATCTATTCAGTCACACTTGAAATAGCAGAAGAATCAACTTAATAAATTTTTTCGAAGAACGCCTTAAAGTTTTTTACTTTGTTACGTAATTTCCAATTAAAATATATAAAAAAATACAAGTCAGGACCCAATTATTCGATAAAAATTCCACTCAGATTTAATTCCGAGCCATGTCGCAAGGAAAAACCTATAATGCTTTCAAAACACGAAACGACAATTTATTTTCTTTTTATGACATGGCAAAAAGATTTCAAAACTCATATCCACGACATGAATTCCAATGAGAATTAAAAAATACTTGATGAAATTTTATTCTGTGCATTTCCTAATGAAAATATTTGCTTCTACGAAAATCCTATTTAAAAGGCATTCCGTCAGCAGTTATAAAGTCAGTATATTAATAAAAGCACTTGTATATCATTTTAGATCGTAAAGAGACTACATTTTATTACATTAATGAGACTCTTCACACTCTTCGAGAACAGTGTGGTTTGCAAGATGATGTTGTGACCAGGATTAAGAAAGGAATGCTTCGGTGATTTGGTCATGTGGAAAGAATGAATGAGGAAAGAGTGACAAAGAAAATTTATGTTGCAGAAGTGAATGGCAGAGTCGGAAAGGGACGTCCTAGGCGAAAATTTATCGACCAAATTGGCGATTTATTAAAAACGGGACAAATTAGGAGTACCCTTAACCGACGAGCATGTATGCGTAGGTGTATGGATGTGAAGGAGACGAGAGAGGTGTGTCAGGATCGTGCCAAATGGAAGTCTGTAGTCTCTGCCTACCCCTCTGGGTGACAGGCGTGAGTGTTTATGTTATGTTATGTTTAATGAGACTCGTGGTAAGTCTGGTTCTAAGCGCTTGCTTAATTTCACAATAACAATGACATTATTAAACTAAATTGTAAGTGTTGCTTTATCATGAAAATATCCGTATACAAACCTGCCAATACGCTTGGTTCGTTTTTCAAAAGCTTCTGAGAAATAAAATGAGATCAGAGCTCATCGGTATAGCAGTAACAGCGTTTTAATATTCTTAAATAACTTCTAACTTGAAATTAAAAAGTATGAAATTATTCGATATATCAAAAGATATATCCAAGATAACCAAAAGAGCAGTTTAGTTGAAGGCAATTGAAGGGAAATATGAAAGCTAATCCGTAAGCTTAACTGAAAGTCACGCCCGTTCCATCTCCAATAAAAACAGCCTATATTTTTCTGCGAGAAGGAACTGATGAAAAATAAATTCCCCAAAGAAAATACTGTCACACTTTAACGTTTCTCAAGCCGAGACTGTCACTATAATTCGCAAGACTTTATCCGCACCGTTGAGCCTGCTGAAACGAGACAGGACAAAAACGACTGATAAATGACAATGACATACCCAATTCAAATGTTGAGAAGCCGCGTTAGGTGTTACGTGTGAAAATTCCTTAATTTTAGGCGACAAAGAAAATGAAAAGGATTTTCAATACGTGTGTATATTTTTATGTAGGTTCGGCCATAACTTCTTTGTTAAACAACCGAATTAAATAATACATCTTTAATTAAATATTTTATACTTAAAGGACGATAGTTGTTTCTTACCTTGAAGTTGTGATATTCCTTAATTTACTCCAAAGGGTAAAAAATAAACCTTTTTTTACATAGTATTTAATTGACAAATGAGTATACAGCCAACCTGATGGTTAGTGGTCTATAGACATGTATATGTTGTATTTTCGACTAAGATGCAAAATGCAGATGCGTTGTCACTCCGGAGGCTTAGTATGGATGATTTTTAATAATGAAACACAACATTAAGCTACTTTATTAATCTGGTACGTATAAACTGAATTAAAGTGAAACAATTTGCACATAATACTTACTAAATCTCTAAGTGTTATTATTTGCAAATCATTTTATTCTTTTTAGTTTTTGAAGCCGGTTTTTATTTTATTTTTAGGTTTAGTTTTTTCTAACGAGTGCACACACACACAACGAGAGGTGTCATTTGTTGGAGCTGGTCAGTTCAGGTTTGCTATGCACTGATAAGCTCTCAATTTTTAAGAATAAAATCAATTCCACGTAAATAAATAATTTCCACATTATTTTTGAAGTCAAAAATTAATTTTTAGTGGAATACAATATTTATGTCTGAGCATCGACTTCAGAGACTATTATGTGGAAATTATTAATTTATTTTTATTTTTGAACTCGGGTTTCGCTGTTTTTTAATTTTATTCTTTAATTTGATATTTAAATTATAAATGAAATATAATAAAATTGGAGGTATCTATCATTGATATGTACTGCACTTTTCTAAAATGTAAAAGAGATGTCGATAACAATTTTGAAATGTTTATTTTTTAAATAGAATAAGGGTGACGAACGAGCGTATAGTCTACCCGATGGCAAGTGGATGCAGTGGAACATAGACATCTAAATCTGTCCTTAAATAAGAATCGAAATTCAGAATACATTGTCACCACTGAGGACAAAGATGGAATGCATCGTTTCTAGTTAAAAGGGTCAAATAAAGAATCGAAATGCAGATGCACTGTCATCCTCCATAGAGGACTAGGATGGGATGTCTTGCCTCCCTTCCTGAAAAAATATCTTGTGCTTCTCATTACTAGACACTAGGTCATTATGCTAATATTTTATGTTAGAATGGGTCCCCGGTATAATAGACCTATTTATTGTGCGGCCATAACACAGTACTTTACTATGAAGAAGTTTGGCATTATAAAATCTATACGGAATTTTCTATCCTGTGGTCTAGAGAAACAAAATTCAGGTTTTATTTTATTACAAAAAGATTTTATTGTATTTTGATAACAAAAAAAAAATCATACCAAGCGGATATCGGCAGCGTGAAAATCACAATTATTTCTATATATTACCTGAAATTATTTACGTAAAAAGACAAATTATATACATATTAAAACTTTCATAACCATTTTATAATAAAAGACTATAGTGAAACACTAGAAAAATCCAAAAATAAACACAACTACATCCAAATGAAAATGGCGCACGTAATAAACGTAGAATATAAATTAATATCCATAGACTGTTTTTTTTAATTCCACTATAGGTTAGAAAATTTCATATTTATTCTATAATGCCAAACTTCTTCATAGAAAAGTAGTCTCTATACCTAAGCGTTTATGGGTTAAAGTGCTGTGGGTGGGTACGGTCATATTTTGACCGCTTGAATTTTGACGGAATATCGAAGCGGTCAAATTTGGCCACTTGGTGTTTGAGAGGTTTAGTTTGTTATTATTATATTATTAAACATTGTACGTGTGTTACGTGAACAAATCTCTACCATAATGTAATTAATTAGTATGAAATAATATTATTATGTCAAATACAAGATACCATGTCTCAATTCATTACATTTTTCCCGGATATTTTATTTTTTTCTTAAAAGTATTCCAGTATCATAATACTACGATATTATCTAACAGCACCCTCATGAATCAAACAAGGTTTATATTTACATACCGATATCAAACGCATTTTGTTATTTAAGCACAAATCTTCATTACACTTGAATCAGTAATTTAGAGAACATAAAATAATTTATATACCTACATAGGTTTCAAACTATGTAATTGCATTTATCATCGTTGACATGTGACAGCCTAGAACCCCGCCTATTTCATTACTGAGATTGTATTATGAATATTCAGGTAAACTCATACTATGCAGAGTTTCTAGACAGATTATTAATGCTGATATAATGT